ATCTTTGTGCGCGTTCCTGTGCTCACGTTCACTGTCGAAATTTTCAGCTCATTCGCAGTCCATAAACTTTTTCTAATCAGTATCTTGTTTAACAAAACTCTTCGTTGAGCTATAGTTGGTTCATAGTCTTAAATACTGGATAGCATGGATTCGACAGAGGATAAAGAAAGAACACTGATGCACAGGATTACTAAGCCCTTGTGCTGCGCATCAGTGTTCTTTCTCTGTCCTGGCTATATACCAACTTCGTCTTTACTATGATCTCGGATTCACGTTTATACTCATGTCTATCACACGTATTCTAAAGCAGTGTCGTTCATACACATATTCAATATTTATTGCTCAGAGGCATGAATTACATAGGCATGTACCTTGAACTGCCCCTTCGCTAACTCTTCGATCGAAGTTCTTCGTTAATATCTCATGTTGTCATGTCTCTCAGGAATAACGTCCTTACTGGTTTTAAACCCCTCATAACTCGTAATCAAGGGTACTGTATCAAAAAGGCGCTAAGAAGAGAACCAATTACGTGAGATATTGGTGTTAAAGAGCCTTGAAACCATGGTCGAAAAAGCTAGTTCAAGACTAATGGACTCGTGAGTACGCTCACTCAGACTGAGATCGAGCCATGAGTCTCAGTTAGTCCGGTTGAAGAAACATTTCGTGAGTGAGTCCGAGTGAGGTTGGAAGAAAGAACTTCATTCCGAGTCCGTCGAGTTGGCGGAATGGGCCAATGACCCCGCCCAGGTACGACCAGGAGTCCTTGAATCCTGGTGGCTTAATAAAAATTTGGTTGAGTCTGAGTAAGAGTTAGTTCGAAGTGCTTAGATATGAGTGAGTTCCAAAATTTTTTCCGACCTATGGTGCTGTGTCATTACCTTTGATTGCGATAAAAATTATGTGACACTACCGGCGCGTCTCTGGCTGTCGCCATAACGCCACTAAAGGTGCCGCGTAATGAGAAAAATCGAAAACATCGTTCCGTGCGTTGCATGTTCTCCGGGTGAGCGCTGCACTCAATCGGCTAGAGCGGAGAGGAAACGGGCAGGTCGTCTTTCGTCGTTCGAGAAAAGTCCATGAAGGCGGGAGGGTAGCGGGGTGCAGGAGGGGCGTCTACGTGGCTACGGCGGAAACTTTGCCCTTTGTTCGGTCGAGAGCGGTCTCACGCGTGTTATCTTGACAGGGATCTTCAAAGTGCTGGTACCTTCACGCGTGCTGTTCTCACCGCTCGGTTTGTGGCCCGCTGCAGTGACCGTGTTTTTTTTTATGTCCGTGTTTTGTCTAATTAATCTAGGCAGGGTACTATATTAAATGAGTTAGCTGCTAGCCTCAAGAATTCGCACAATATTCCAATTCGTTGCTATCACATTAACTGCTCCGACCTTGCCACAAAACTGACCATTATATTTCTAGCAATGCTAAGATTTACCTGCACGTTCTTCGGCATCAAACTCACATTCAGCATGTGGTTAATCTGCCTTGTACATCATTACAGCGGCACAATAAAGCAAACGCTAGTGGTGCACCACCAGTAGCCGCCCGCTGTGGCCTCACAGGTGCGCCCGACACAGCGATGGGATCGGCCAGGCGAGCTCCAGCGCCAGCTGCGGTGCTGCCGACGTCCAGGAGGCCCCCGGCGCAGCAGCCTTTCGAAGTGGCTGTGCTACGGACACCTTTCATGGTGCTCCACATGCCGCCCACAGAACTGCCGACCGGACCGCATCCTACGACGCAGCAACAGCCGGGACCGATGCCGATGGCAAACAAGAGCGCTCGATAGAGATGCCGCCCGGAACCGCAGTCACGACCGACGGAATCGTCCTCAATAAGCAGAAGTAAAATGGATATGAACAGAACGCTTTCATAGCAAGTGCTGCTTCCACTTGCAAGCTTGACTCACCTTCAAGCGCACTCCTAGAACATAGATAGCCATCTCCCAGTGGTTGAATATGGTAAGAGCGCACCACATGGAATCAAGTTTCAAGTTTGCGAATATAAACTTTACGCGCAGTTAACCAGCCAAGTGAAATTGGCAGCCTCAGTAAGCCTAACGTGGCGCTCAGTGCGCGAAGAAGCTATGGCGCGAATGATGATAGTGTGAAACTAAACGAATGGAAGGCATGTATAACACTGAACGAACATAACACCTAAGTGCGTGGGAGCTAGCAATGCTAAGATGCGATTTTATCGCCTTGAGAGTTTCTCCCAGTAACTGATGGCTCACTATTTCACATGTAAAAGAAACGGATGTTTGTCATTCTGGTTGATATTTTTTTATGTAAACGTTCTGGTACGGTAAATTGTTTTTAATTGCATGCTATGATAAAACCACCAGTTAATTAAGATACAGTACTCTGCATGTGTCCAAATGTTCTGTTTCATTATTGCATATATACCAAAATAAATTGACCTTTCAATAACAGTCTCATCACTGTACACAAACTGTATGACTGCAGTCCTGATTTAATGAAGCTATGCTGCAACTTCTGGGGCAAGTCAATAAACCTGGCGCATTTTAAGGTTTTTTGCCACCACGAAATTCATTCGAACCAATGAAACAGCTAATGCATTAATGATGCATCAGTGCAACGAAGCCACACATTATAAAAGTAGAATAACTAGAGTAGTTTTCTTACTGAACTTTGGAAAGTAAAAAAAAAAAAGGTGTAGGACGCTTGTTCTTCGCTTTCAGGAGCAGATCGCGTTAGAGTAATCGGTCCAGATGTGCAAGGCCTCTTGAACTGCTAGAGTGTCATTGAATACCTGTCATTGTTCTGTCAAAGTGTCATTGAATACCTACTTCAAGAGCAGTTAAGTGCCCACTATGCCACAATTATTCAAAGAATCAGCGAAAGCTTGAAGTTCTAGAGTGACACGTGAAGCTACGCAGCTGTTCACTTGGTTGACGGTTTTGCTGCTAATAATTATTAAATATGTGTGAGCGCTTTGTAATGAGTGGGCATTGAAAATAGACACTCGTTGTTCAATTCACATATTTTGGTGCCTACCACGATTATACTTCTGCCACGCAATATATGATGTGCTGAGAAGACTCCTTTCACTACATGACATTTGCATAGAGTTTTTTTCCAGAGCAGTTTGAACAAGAATCATGACTCTGTGGTAGAACAACTGCTTGCCACGCAGATGGCCTGGGTTTCGATTCTAGCGCAGACCAGAAAATTTGTACTTTATTTGCATCTTTCTCAATTTTTTGTCTTGGACAATACCATGATTATTCGCTCACAAGCACAGACACCGACGCTGGAATTCCTGTGAAAGGAGTTCATTAACGCTATTGTGTTAAAAATTCAAGACACTTCTTTAACGAGAATTATCTAAGATATGAATATTGTTATGCTTGTCCAACTGGCAAAGTTGGCCAATGTTGCAGAAGTTTGTGTACACATGCTATGGGAACAATGACAATTGCATAGGTGCACAATAGTGAACAATACATATGCATAAGCATGAATGAGTGGCTAGAAGTATGAAAAATGAATTTTACCACCTAGCCTTTATGCCTTGGCACAGACGTAATTGGCAGTAAAATTGATTTGTATTGTATCTGTTCAGACTAACAAGTACCAGACCCATCGAGCTTTCTTTAAATGTTTAAATTACCCCCTCACATAGCATTCTTCTTTTTTTAACAGTCGACTTTTGTCCCCAGTCACACACTCTTTCCCTCTTTGTCTTTTGTGTCGGTCTTGTACTTTTTCAAGGAAGATGATAAACGAAATGGAAGTGGTAAAAGGGCATAAGTATTGACCAGAAATTGGGTCCCCTTTTTGAGATTATAGGGTCCCATGATTTGCTTTATCACAACTTCAAAAGCACTTCCACAGTCAGGATGTTTCTTTCTTTTTTGGGGGGGGGGGGGGGGGAGGATAACTTGCTAAAGGTCTTGATTATTTGTGCAAAACACCTATTTTCATTATTTATTTTTGGTACCCCCCTTCCTCCCGCCAATCAAAATTTCATCGAGAGGGAGGAGGCCCGGGCCCCCAGGACGACCTTCCTGATCACAGGCCTGTTCGTAGTGCTCAACTGAGGTCCAAAAAGTGACAGAGAGTGATAGTATATTTGTGCACAAAATTCATTATGGCAGAATTAAAATAATAAACAATGTTATAACTAAAATTCAACTTTATTCTTAAAACTTATATAAAAACAGCTAAAAGCACAATAACAACAAATGATGAACTCATTCATGACTGCAAGAGTACATTTCATGCTAAAGTGCATAAAATAAAATCAGGGTCAATGCAAAAAGGTAAAAATTGTAAAGTGTGCATTTGAAGAATGAGTGTGTGGCGATTGGCAGCTCATTTAAATAACACAGCCTGGACATCTAAAAAGGCTAAGTGGAAAATGCACAAAACAGCTAGCAGTTGCAAACAATGCAACACATTTTAAATCTCAAAACATGCACATCACCCGCATATACTGAACTACTACAGTACGACTTCTCTCAAAGTGAGAAGAAGTGAAAGGACATATTGCTACAGATTTGCTCATGTAGATTTCAATGCTGAAGGAATCATAAATTTCCTAGACATATGAACATCGTTACAGTGACCGATGCATAAACTTAGCACCTCTAGTGCTTTTATCAACATTCTATTCTACATACAAGCTCAGCAACCATTTCCAACAGTGCAAGTGCGATAAGGAAGCTCTTATTCACATGTGCTATAAGTTGTTTAAGCGCTCAAGTTGTTGAAACATCTTCCTTTGTACAATAAGGCATACTGATTTGCATAACATGATATATTGTGAGTGCTGACTATGTACTTCATCGTCCATCTGTGCATCCAAACCCTTGCAATCACCATCGTTTGTCACTTGCGTTGGTACCGTTTTTGCCTCACGCAACTACATTGCAGTATAACCTTGGCACTGCTGAAATAGACGGCGTCTCATAATATTAATGCCTTGACCACACGGCTGCAATAACCATGCATTAATAGAGTACAATCTCCTCACTAAAAGAGAGGCAATTCACCTGCTTGAATGCATTCATCTATCCATTCGCTGTCTACCTCCATCACTTCTTCCAAAGCATCCAAATCATTTATTTCACAGTCTGAACTACCAGCCTCCCTATTTCCTGGAGTGTCCCTAACTTTACCACCATGCAATCTAATGATAAACCGATTTAGTTCACTTTCCTCTCTTAGCCTGAATGTGCAGTTTCTGAATAAGCCCCATAGTGGTTGAGAGGCGAAATTCTTTTGCTCAAACTCAAAAATGAACTGCTCTAAGTCATCAACTTGATCACATGCCTCTTTGGGAATGGTTGCAAAGATCTCACGCAATGAACTTGGTGTCACAGGAACTGTGTAGCTGTCGCCATATTCATCAAACAAGTCCTTTAGTCGGTTTTCCGTTTCGATGTTTGCACACCACAGGTCCGCTGGCTCCCATGGTCGAAGCTCGGCAGAGTCGAGAAGAGCGACAAACTTGTCTGCTTTAACGACATCCCATTTTTTCGACTTGACGTAACTACGTGCTCTAAAGTTTAGCTTCTCTGCAACAACACAAAATGTTTCCTTGCTAGGATTTTGGACAACAGAACCTCCTAATTCAGCGACCCTGAATTCTAACTCCTGCTTCGTGAGATCTTCGCAGTCAGTCAAGATGCATATCTCCTTTCCCTGAAGGACAGTGTGCTTCTTCACAGCACTAGACAAATCGGCTGGCTGGAAGTGTGTACCTAAAGATGCCTTTACAGTGGCTCCAATGCGTCCTCTTTTTTGCTGGTGATCCACCGTCATCTTCATCATGCCCGAGCGTAGCAGTGGCCAATTTGCCACCAGCTGCCTTCTCTAGTTCACAAAGCTCAGAATATGACAGCACATCCTGCCAAGGCTTATCATGGCGTATGGCAGCAACACGAGGAAATCGCAGTGTTATGCCTGTCCTGAACTGGCTACTGCGAACAAGTTCCGAGGCTTTGATCTGAAGTACCACAGAATCTGAAGGTTCTAGGAACAAGTCTGGCTTTTCTTTGTGACCTGGGGCAAGTACCAATTTTTCTGGAGGCTTTTTGGGGTTATAGACTTTCCATTTTGATGTCAGTTTGGCAAGTAGGTCATCCAGTTCTTGCGAGCTGTATCCCGAGCCCACTTTTGCGACCGACCAGAAAGTATGCGGCATACCATCATCGTCCAGATTCCCACTGGCAACTCCCAAGAGAAAGTGCGACACAACACCACTGCGGCGTCCTTCTCCGAAATAACCACCGAGAATGAGCATGTCCAGATCTGAAACCAAATTGTCCACATATTCTGGCTTGAGTTTCAGCCAGCCAGCTTTTCTTGCGTTAGGCTTGTAGACTGAGGAAAGCCCCTTTAAGACGATGCCTTCTTCTTGGTCCTCGATTGCTTGGTTTAGAAGGCGAATGGCATCGTCTCGTGTTGAACCATTTTGCCTTTTGGAGATCAGTATTCTGCCGGGAACTTCTACTAAAGCTTGATCGAGAAGTACAACTCTCTCTTGAAGAGGCTTGTTGGTGACTACCTGTCCATTCAAGAGGAGTATGTCAAAGGCCGACAAAGCAAGGCTGTAATGACGAATTTTCAGTTAAACTTTTTACATCTACATGCGAACCTTTAGAAACAAAATGATTGCTCCTGGGGTCATATCCTATTACCTCTCCATCTAAGATACAACTTTTCACATGGATTTGGAAAGACTTCACTATGTACTGTGTCAAAGATCCTTCATCAGCAGTGGCTCCAAATCCAGAACTGTAGTCGTGACTGCGTCGTGTGAAGTATCTGCAATAACATCATGAAAGCCTTAATAAATGCATCAACTATTCAGAAAAATAGTAACATACAAAAGCAGAGCAAAGTATCTTGCCTAAAAGGACCAACAACCAATTTTTATGGTGCCATTTTTACTAGTGGAATAGAAATCTTGCCTGTCAGTGAGTCTAATCATGAAATGGTGAAGTGGGAAATGCCGCAAAACATTTGTAATCAGAACATGTTTATCTGGAGTGAATATGGAGTCGTATGCTCACATGCTGCAAACAGCACCGTCGCGGTGGTCTAGTGGCTAAGGTACTCTGCTGCTGACCCGCAGGTCGCAGGATCGAATCCCGGCTGCGGCGGCTGCATTTTCCATGGAGGCGAAAATGCTGTAGACCCATGGGCTCAGATTTGGGTGCACGTTAAAGAAAAGAACCTCAGGTGGTCAAAATTTCCGGAGCCCTCCACTACGGCGTCTCTCATAATCATAAGGTAATTTTGGGACGTCAAACCTATATATCATATCAACATGCTGCAAACAGTGAGTGCGAGAGTGGTTAGTGTTTGAGAGTGGTGGTTTACTGCACATGCATGGACTCTGTGTGCATGCCCCGCAGCTCGACTTGGTCCACTGGTGGCCGCGACAGCAGCACCGCTTCTCACCGTGCAACTCCTTTCACGTTGTAAACCGCACAGAATCAAGTGGGCTTGAATATACTATAAATACTCCAATTTTGAGGACTGGCACGCATGACAGCTTCAGGCTACGCAACCACGAAGAGGAAAGTGATCGACGCCATATTTCATCATCCAGCTTGAATTCTCTTCTGCTAGGCTGTGTTACATGACTGTTTTTTTTGTGACATTTAAGTGTCATTTAAAAGTATATCATACTCAACATGCGGAAAAAAAAAGGCTAGAATCGGTGACTTTATTTTATGGTTTTTTCATTTCTACTAGGATCTAATCACACCTTCTGGCCAGTTGTAAGTATTTTTAAGACAGATTAGGACATGGGCTTCACCATCATCATCATAAGCCTGACTACGCCCACTGCAGGAAAAAGGCACTTCCCATCTCCGCCTAATTAATCCAGTCTTTTGCTTGTTATGGGCATGTTATCCCTGCAAACTTTCTTAACTCATCTGCCCACTTAACTTCCTGCCCCCTCTTCGTGCCCTTGCCTTCACTTGGAATCCATCTTAGTTATTAATAATGTAGAAATGTGAGAAAAAGCTGATGTCTACACTTTCTCTATTCATACACCTTCCAGGCTTTAGACAATATTCATCCGTGTGAAGCCAGAGACAACTGAACTACATTTATTGAAGCCCACAACTATGGCTACTCCTGTTCCAGGTCCTGTAATACCACTGGCTGCCATCACGACTAAAGCAAACCCCAATGAAAGGTGCAAAGAAAATGGAGACCTCAAGTAATCAACACTTGTTAAGCATGTTTCACGCTAGTAATATGAACGAGGGACTTATCACGGCAATAGCTTCTATACTAAGAATATCTTTTGCCTGATTAATGTTGATCAACATTCAAAAATGCACAAATTTTATCCCCCATGCTAATGGTAACACACCTGAACTCTGCGCCATTCTTGTGCACCTGCAGCCGCTCACCATCAAACTTGGTTTCGGCAAAGAACGGTTCGTGATTCAAAAGACGCTCCACAGAGCGAGGCTCTGCCCGCTCTGCCAACATTGGTCGCACCGCGTGGAATAGCGACACCTGAACGACATGCTGGCGAGCTTTCGGGTCTTTCAGTTCTCGACAGACTTTCAAGAGACTGCTGCTATTGTCGAAAACATCCTGTGCATCAGGATGATAGCAGGACAGGATGCTCCCTTCGCTCATGCCCATTTTCATTTCCTTTAGAATCATCCTCACCAGCCACTTCTGTTCTGCGGCGGAAGTGCGGCGCAGCAGTGTGCACAGCGCATCTCTCGTGCGCCGACTGCCTTCTGCGCCTCCGTGCGCATGCGCATCAGACACTTCGTCTAATAGCTCATTGACTTCGGCAACGGTTAGCGACCCTTTCGTGGGGCAGCGGTTTCGCAGCACTAGATACGCGACGCTCGCGAAATCTCCGGCCTCCGCTTTGGCTACATGCGGCGTTCTGTAGCGCAGCAACTTTTGAGCGTCGGGACTCTCCTTGCCAAGTGCGAGTACATCAATGTAAAGTTTTGCCAGGGTGGCTTCTTTGATTCCATAGGCCGGTCGGTCTCGATCTAAGTGCGGTAAGAGAAGTCGCATTGCGGGGAAGAAGGAATCATCGGTCGCTGCTTGAACCCCGTTCGTGGCGTGAAGTTTGTCGTGAAACTCGCGCCAGTACGTGATGAACCTCTCCAGCAGTTTCCGCTTCTCGACCCTGTCCTGCTTTCCGGATATCTTGTCGCAGAGTTTGCAGAGGTCACCGAAAGGAACTTTCTGGGCGACAGTAGTTGGACATGTGGACGTATCCATTGTAGCGCGCTTTCGAGGAATCTTGTTCCAATGGACCGTCTGAGTGCAATCGGGTATATTAGAACACTACAGAGCAGGAAAGAACTCACGAAGTTTCGTTTCCGCGCAGCGTGACATGCGAGCACCGCTCACTAACAAGATTTGATGGCAGGGCAAACGTGCAACACATTTCGAACGCGGTGTCGGCTAGTTTTCAAGTTCCGCTGTCAACACCATAGGTCACGTCACTTCACATGACCAGATCACTTTTTCACAGTGTTGTGACACCTGTCTTGACACTGACAAGCTGCAACAGAGTTCTCTACGTGATTGAGACCGCGGCGTAATATCACAGAACACCTGCCACATGTAATTCGACGTAATAACAAATAAGCCGGCCTCGCACGGTTTGTTTTGGATCATGAAGACTTGAGGTCCAGCCGTCCAGCCAATGTCCTGCCCATGACCTACTACACTCCTGACCTGTTCAGATAGCGGGGTTCCTATGGGAGCGCGTGTCCCCGCTCTCGTTCAATCGCTCGCCGTAGGTGGCGCTACCTATAACCTGTTCGTCTGCTACTTTACGGCTGTTTGGACGGCGCTAGAGTAAGAACGGCTGCATTCCGTGATGAACAGCCGGCATATATGTGACTATTTTTTCACTTAGATGACTGGTCAAGTAAGCTGTTCAGTGTGACGAAAAATTTATTGCACACTGGTGGACAAATGCGAGAATCCGTAGACTTACATAGTGTAGGACAGCATATGTGATGTTGCGTCCATTTAATTGCAAAGAATTTGTGAATGACTTTTGAAATATTTGTTTCAAAATTATTTTTCATTAGTGCATAATAATTACGCAATATGAGTGCTCTGTTGGCCGAAATATGACCACGAACACTGAAGCTGACGTCAGCGAACAGGTGCTGACTAGCGCCACAGTGCTCGTAGGTGACGGCCCTAGCGGCAGAAGGTATGAACTAGAACGTGGGCGCTGGAAGAGGTGCTCTCTGGGCAGGTCAGGAGTGTAGTAGGTCATGGTCCTGCCACCGCATCTTCCACAATGCGATCCAAGCCGAGCCGAAGCCACAGTGTTATTTAAACATGGCGCCGTCCTCAAAGAACGCGAAACCTGCACCTTATGGGCATCGCTTTTCTGTATCAAAGATTGAAGATATTTTGTGAGTGATTTGCTCTTGTGCAGCCTAATAGTTTCTGTAATAACATGTTCCAGTGACGCAGTGTCTTTCCCTGAAATGCTTGCTCGTTTATTTGAAGCGTCGTCACAACGAAGACGAGGGAGTAACGACACGAAATTATAACAAGGATAGCGTCTGTTCTAACCCCTCATTAAGGTTATCATCTTAAAAAATTTGTAGTAGCGCTTTAAATGACTACATATTTACCATCATCCAACTAGCCCAAATAGCTGACTTGCTGATGCGCGTCCTATATATGTTTTATTCTTCGTTTTACTCAGGCCGGAGCTCTCAACAGCCCACAAAGAAAAGGTTTGCATTGTGTCCTTCATCGGGAAAACTACGTTGAAGGGAAGCTGCGTCAAAGCAAGCCTCATCGATGATGTTTTGGGCAATAACGTGCTCGAGGTAAGAGAATGGCTCGTTTGTGTACTTTTGTTTTTTGCTTCAAGAAATGTCCATTGCCAAGGAGTTCTTCATAGTGCGCGCTTCTCTGACTAACTTCTGACGACTCCTTGTTCCGTAAAAGTTAGATATTGTTCTTTTTTTCTTTTTTCTACACCCACAGATATTCAGCCTGAGCTGGGAGTCGAAGACGACACTGGAACTGATGATGTAAGTGAAATTCAGACCTAATGCTTGGTTCATAGCTCTTGCACATATTCATAGCTTGACACCATATTTATATTCATGTGTTCACAATGAGCGAAACTTAACTCCCTTTTGCAGTTTCGAATCGAAGGATTCTACCACCGCGAAACACGGGTCATTTTCCTTTATTGCATTGGGATGTTTGATACGGCCTGCTTTGGTCCAAGCGTGCCGGAGACTGGAGGGAGACTTACACGAAAAAGTAAGTTTTGGAAAACGAAAATCTGCTTGCACTTTACGCAATGATTGGCGTACATAGCAACGTTGTGTGTGAAAAAGCCAACCTAGCACCTCTAATGCACGATGACTTCCTGAATAACTGCAACAGCATGATCAGGGTGTCTTGAACACTGCCGAACTTCTCACCGTATTGGCATTGGTTTTCTTCTTCCTACGAAAGGTTGCGATTTCGATGCTTAGAAAAGATCGCTTCATTTCAATATGGGGCGAAAATCAAAAATACTTGTACATGCGGAAATATGGTTCCTCATCGTGAAATAATCCTAAAGCCTCTGCTACGTGTCTCTTGTAACCACAGTGTTCTACAACCGATTCTGCATTTGAGACATGTGCGCTATACCATGAAAAAAATTTTGGAAACTGGGGTGACAGGATTTAAGGTGATGCCTGTTTTCTGGTCAGTCTGTTATATTCCGCCCATAGCCTTCCTTGACCTTGGGCTAGCCGAGTGCATGTCCTTGCCTCAGCCTTGCTCTTCCTTACACGTCCCTTAGTTATGCATGGTTTAATTAGTGATTAGAGAATTTCAAGTATAAATAACACATTTCAGAGGATTAGATCTATGGGGCATGCATAAAAAAGGCAAACGAGAGTGCATAAATGGCAACTAGGTAAGTGAAGCGCTGAGGAAGCAAAGAAGTTTGGGTGCCTTACTTTTGAAACTCACTATAACCACACAATTTAGTATTTGCGATTTGGTAAATAATGTGTAGCCAGGAAAGTTTGATGACACTTACTCAATAAAAGTTTGGGCTAGCTATATTTGGTTTCTTAATCCGTTGTTTAAGTGGCATATTTTTGTTTAGCTATGCGAGCGATACCACAAGATGTCTGTTGAAATGATTTTGGTGTATAATTACTGCAAAAACCTTTAAAAAACTGACATTGGCTTGGGTTTGATTGCAGAGCTTCCTAGAAGTCTGGAATGACTTCCACTGCTACAGTTGCCCAGACAATGTTGTACCTGTTTCACCTGTCGCACCTTGTTGTGGTATGTATGTGTGCTGATGCTTTTCCAGTATGGTCGAAGTAATAACTCATGTAAGTGACCTTGCGGAAGATGAGGGCCTAACATCATGGTTTGTTTCAGCTTGGCCGAGCGTATCAGTACAGTAAATGTACTGTAATTCTTTACAGACTGTTATGTTTTCTTTTTGTTAAAATTAACTGTGTTTTTGGGAAAAGGAAATAAAGTATTGTAATTCTAGCAATCCATACATCAGATTGTTTAAATTCTTTCAGAGCACCTCTTTCATTTATTGCTTTCAATGTCTGCGAATGGCTCGCAGTAGGGCATGCACTGTCTATGCATAATCCTCTTGACCCATGCTCATGACAGAGTCTGAGGTGCGCTAAATATATAAACAGTATACTTGTGTGTGCATGAGCACATAGGTATTGCTTCTGTCTTCTACACCGTCATTGCACTCCAAGTGCATTGCCAATGGAATGTGTTGCTTTCCTTTTGCTCAGATTGTACACCCCACTTCAACACTTGATGTGAGCTATGTGCACCTGTTTCGAACCTTGGACAACATCAGGTTAGTGTACATGACGAATTTATATTCTAAATTACCACCTGCCATTCTTTAACCAATCAGTCTGCAACTGTATTCCTGGAATGCTTGCCTGCATATGCAGGACTGAGTCGTTGCACTGATTCTGTCATTTAATTGTTTATGTTCAAGTTTTTCTTGTTGCTATTAAACACTGCTAACATTAGGTATTCTCTCAAATTGCAATTTCAGAGGGTTATCAAGTAGTATAGAAAAGACAAGTTTTTTTTTCAGTTTTGCCAGTGAATGTAACTGTTTTGTGTCTTTATTGTGATTATCATGTCTGTTTTAGTACCAGTATAGTACATTGCGTCCATATAGTGGGAGACATCAGAGTAGTTGAATCCTTTGGTAGCCTTGCAAACTTCCTGAGTGAGTTAATAAAGTCTAAATTGATTGATGTGGACTGATGCCGAGCAGCAACAATGCACCCTATGATAGGTGCTGTGGTTCAGGTATTTGAATTAGACTTGCACCCAGAACATTGCAATGTAACCGATTTTTCACATGGTAAAAGCTGCTGTGATTGTCTCAGTCTCAGCATCACCATGTCAGTCTCAGCAGCTGAATGCTGTAGTTAGTGAGCTATAAGAGTACCTGTTCCTTGAAGTCCATTTATATGTTTGCACTGCCATAGCCCATGTAAAGCTGATTGCTGATACTATCGATTTGCAGGGTCAACTGCCAACAAGACGTGTCGGATGCATTGAAGTCATGTCCAGTGTCTTCAGAATGGATACAGAATGGTCGCCCCTGCTCGCCGAGAGTGCTGTTTGTGTTCTTGACCTGCCCTTTGGAAGGGAGCACCTCTGAGCTACTCGATGTCAGAGTGAAGACCAAGCCATCGGTAAGCTAAATGACGCTAGTGTGAGTGTTGGTGCATTTGTACCGACAATAGTGCCTAAATCGAGGAGCCTTCTTTTCATGACGGAAAGAAAGGCAGTGTAGACATTTGATTGCTCTTCTCACTTCTGGGCTGTGTCTTGAAAAAGGCTTTCTCTTTCTTTCCTGCTCTTGTTTTACTTGTAGTACTATGTAGTGTAACGAGGGCAGTGGGCATGGAGATCGAGTATATAAAAGGAAGAAGACTTGCTGTGATCGCAGGCTTGCGTTCAGTTAGCCCTTGCGCTAAATAAAGCTCTCGTTCGTCGAGTCAACTCCTGCTTGTTCAACAACCCGTTTCAAGTGGTGGAAGTGCTGAGATACATCTGGTCCTCACCCTGGAACTTCACAGCCGCACACTCCAATGACCTTCTACAATGACTGATCCGGGGCCATCTCAGGCCGCTACTCCAGATTTCGCACCTGTGCCTGTCTTCTGCGCTGGCGCTCTCCGGCAGCGCGATCCCCCCCATATTTGGTGGCACAGAGGACCAAGATGTGGACAACTGGATTGCCGAGTATGAACTGGTGAGCGCATACAATAAGTGGAACGCAGCTGATAAGCTCACAAATGTGAGTTTTTTACCTGACCGACGTGGCGAAACTATGGTACAGGAAATCATCAAAGTGATTACAGTACCTGGTCGGAATTGGCGAAAACCCTCTTGAAGTCTTTGGCCGTCCTGCTGTCCTGCCTGCCTTCGTGCTGAACAGCGCTTGCGGGGCAGAGTACAGAGAGCAAATGAAACTTTTCACGAGCTATATCGAAGATGTGCTCTTTCTCTGCAAGCTCGTTGATTCGACTCTGGATGAGGCAGGCAAGATCAAGAACACCATGAAAGGAATCGACGACAGTGCATTCCAAATGCTTGCTGCGAAGAGTCCCCTGACGGTCGCCGAGGTGATTCAGCTCTGTCAAAGCTATGATGAGCTGCGTAGGCAGCGCGCTTCTACACGTTGCGCTGCTCAAGACACCGCGGACATCTCATCCCTCGACTATCACCATGACACCGCCGGCCACTCTGCGTTGATGCCACTCATAAAGCAATTCATACGCGAGGAGGTCGCCCGGCAGCTATCTATAATCACAAGAACTACCGAGCCGATGGCATCCTTGTCGCCTTCGCTTCGCCAGGTCATTCAATCGCAAGTTGCCGAAGCGTTACCGCCAGCTCAGGCTCCACCAACTGTTACCGCACCACTAACGTATGCAGCTGCAGTTGCTCGGCCACGTGCGCCAGCGTCTCCGGCCATCTACGAAGCTACTCGCCACATTTATTCGTCGATGCCACCTTCCCGCTCGCTGACCGTCCCCTCTCCGGCTGTATACGAAACAGCTCAGAACGTTTATATGACGCCGCCGCCTGCACGACCATTTACGGTACCTTATTCAGCGAACAGTGCCCCTACCGTCAGCCAATGGCGCACTCCGGATAATCGGTCGATATGTTTTTCATGTGGCATCCCAGGCCACGTAGCTCATCACTGCCGTCGTCGCAGCTTCCCTTCTCATGACATTGCAGAGGCCTCACATTATATGCCCACCATGTCCACTCAGCCGCGATATCCCATTCTTGCCGATCCACCTCTAGACCTACGTCTTGGTCGCCAACCATCCGGCTCAAGCCGTTCACCTTCTCCTCGTCGTCAATCAATTTCTACAATGTTACATCGCAGCAGCCCACCGCAAGGGGAAAACTGACGAGCGCAGTTTCGGGAGGCAAGAACTGCGTTGGCAGCGAAAATTTCAAGAGCTATCTGCTGTCCCCCGAACGAAATCGAACTCTATATTGATGGCATTAAGGTGCACGGACTTGTTGACACTGGAGCTGCCGTATCTGTAATTAGCGAGAAACTGTGCCGAAACTTGAAGAAAGTGACCACTCAACTTACCGACCTATCTTTGCAGACAGCTACGTCCCATCATGTTCAGCCTGCAGCTTGGTGCACTGCACAAGTCGTCATTCAAGGTGTGATATACGTTGTCGCATTGGTAGTTTTATCCCGTTCTTCGCATGACGTTATCCTTGGGTGGGACTTTGTTTTGTCAAACTCTGCTTTGGCCGACTGTGCTCGTTCTGAACTCGCGTTATGTGTGCCGTGCTATGACCCCGACGATGGCGCTTCGTGTAGAGTGTTTGCTGCTTCTGACGTTGACATTGTGCCTTTCTGTTTTTGTCTCAGTGTCGTGTGCCTCTCCTCCGAAATCACCTGTGTTGTTTATGCCATCGGTTACATCTGCGTGCCGTCGAAATTTTATGCTTCCGTTTGCCGTCGTCGTTTTTCGCAATGGTCACGCTGCCATTTATGTGTGCAATCCCTCGGACAGCCCGTCATCCCTACTACGTGGAGAATGCCTGGTAAGCTACGAACCTTACGAGTGCATTCTTCCGGCTACTATACCCGATTCTACGGTTTCGCTCCCAATTTGTGCTGTCACTCCTACCAACGCGCCTAATGATGTTCTGGACGTCTTCTCGGATGCCATCGACTCTGAGCTCGCACCAACTCAGCGCGAAGTGATTATAAATCTTCTACTCCGCTTTCGCTCTTCATTCGATCGTGACCAGTCAGGCTTAGGCCGAACCTCTGCGGTCGTTCACCGTATTGAGACTGGTCAACAAGCCCCGCTAAGGCAGTGTCCGTACCGTGTGTCATCTGCTGAACGCTGTGTCATCGACGAACAAGTGGACGACATGTTGAAACGTGGCATCATCGAGCCCTCCAACAGTCCCTGGGCTTCACCGGTTGTTCTCGTCAAGAAAAAAGACGGATCCATCCGGTTCTGTGTTGACTTTGACTACCGTCGACTCAACAAGATAACGCACAAAGACGTATACCCTCTGCCGCGCATCGATGATGCTTTGGGCTGCCTACAAGGAGCAGAGTTCTTTTCTTCATCACATTTACGCTCTGGCTACTGGCAGGTGCCCATGGCAGAGGGTGACCGCCCGAAGACAGCCTTTGTAACACTGTATGGACTATATGAATTCACCGTTATGCCCTTTGGCCTCTGCAATGCGCCCGCCACTTTCGAAAGAATGATGGATACCATCTTGCGAGGTCTGAAATGGAAAACGTGCCTCTGTTATTTGGACGACATTGTGGTATTTTCAAGCGACATTGCGACCCACCTCAGCCGCCTCGAGGAAGTTCTTACGTGCCTTTCCACGGCGGGACTTCAACTTAACTTGAAGAAATGCCACTTCGGCGCTCGCAAGCTTGTAATTCTCGGCCATGTGGTTTCTAAGGACGGAATTCTCCCAGACCTTACAAAACTTAATGCAGTCGCGGCGTTCCCAAAGCCAACCACCATCAAAGAGCTTCGAAGCTTCATCGGCCTATGTTCGTACTTCCGGCGCTACGTCCGCATTTCGCCTCCATTATCACCCCCTTGACCAATCTTCTTGCCTGAAGTTCTGATTTGTCAGCGTGGTCGCAGGCGTGTGATGATGCATTTCAGGAACTCCGACGGCTCCTCACCACGCCTCCCATACTCCGACATTTCGATCCGTCTGCTCCAATGGAGCTTCATACGGACGCTAGTAGTGCCGTGACTACCGTATCTCGAGCAGCAGCACAAGCTGAAGAATGTCAGAAGCTTGCTCGTGCGTTCACGTCATATGACCAGACGCGCCAAAAACATCGCCACGACGCATCAACCACACCTATGAGCTTTGCTCCGAACTCTCTGGTGTGGCTATGGATTCCTTCTACTCCTCCAGGACTCTCCCACAAGCTTTCGTCCAGGTGCCATGGCCCTTATCGAGTTGTACGCCAAACATGCCCTGTCGACTACCTTGTCGAGCCGCTGGATGCGTCTCCGGACAAGTGCTGTCGGGGACAAGAAATCGTACACATCTCTCGGCTCAAGCCATACCATGACCCTTCTGTGTACACATGTCCTTAGGTCGCCAGGATGGCTCCCTCATCTCCCGAGGGTGATTGTAACGAGGGCAGTGGGCATGCAGCTCGAGTATAAAAAAGGAAGAAGACTTGCTGTGATCGCAGCCTTGCGTTCAGTTAGCCCTTGCGCTAAATAAAGCTCTCGCTCGCCGAAACAACCCGTTTCAGTAGATTGACTATGAACTATAAGAAAGGCGTACAATTAAGTATACCATAGTACTTGAAGTTCACCATTGATGACTGGTTGTCTGGAGACGACACTTTCTTCAGGTTTTGCTCGTATGAACAGTTTATTTTTAAATCGTAGCAAGAGGCAGCTATGGTGACCCTTCTGCTACAGTGTGTTCAAGGTTTTTTCTTGTATCTGAACTTTTTGGTTCAAAAGTTGCAAAATGTGTCATTATCAGGCAGCTTCTATCTCATTCAAGTAATGCCATGAAAAAAAAAAAAGAGATAAAAGAAAAATAGAAGAAGAACCCCAGCAGTTCCGTTTATAGTGCAAATCACATACAACATGTGCACATTCTTCACTGTAGCCGATATGATAGCGAAATTCTAATATTTCCGTATTCAAGACACATGTGGCTTATCAAATATGAATGATTGAAAGTTTGTACCAAGCTATTGTGGTTGAAATACCTATAATTTAGAAGAAAAAAGGCTGCAAAGTTGTGAGGTCACAAGGTCACACATTGTTCTCTAAAGTATCCACCTCTGTCTTTTATTTTCACGTCTGCACGATGGGTTCCCTCTTCTCCGTTACTTGAGAAAATTATAAGAAGCTGCGCCGCTTATGGCTGCTAGCCAAGACAAAGAGGGAAAGTGCTAGCTTTGCAAATGAAGCTTGCGTTCTGGTAAGGTGGCAACGAGAAAGTTCAGTTTCTTCTGATATAGCCAATAATGAACCCACCTTTTTTTTTGTTTGGTAAGATGCTTTTCAGATAAGACCTCACAAACTCTAGTGACTAACCGAAATTCCCAATAGAGCCTTGTTAGGGTCCCTCCAAGCAAAAAAGTGCACGAATCATGCAAACTATAAGAAGGTGTGCGTGGCAATCCTTTATAGAAAACATTTCCATCTAGCTATCTTTGTGTGCCTAGGTACAGTGAGCTGGCATGCAGTGCCTACAGTGGCTGCACAGACAATATTCCGGCACTAAGCTTACGACCATGTGTGCTACGAGGGCATTTACAATTGCTTTTTGTCGATCATGAATGAATGTGTTTAACACGGGTATATTCACTTTTCAAGTGCTGTACTTTCCTTCTGCAGAAACTGTCTCCTATCAAGAAGCTGGAGCATTCCTTGGAAGACCAAGTTTACAGAATCCTTAGGAAGAGTAGAGTCATTACCAACATCAGGTAAGACTTGTGTCAGCTTGTGAATCTTCCATTACAGTGCAGAAAATGTTGTTGGTGTTCTCAATAGTTATGTTCTTTTTTTGTGTGTGTGAAGTTCAGATAAATGAGCAGTCATTGCATTTGGTGACATAGGAGGGCAAACTCTGTGACGTTAGCGGTCTAAGTTCAACTGCAGGTTTTGTAAGCTAATGTAACTGTGCAGCTGCATTTTTATTGAGCAACATAATTTACAAATCTTTTCAGTGGCAACTCACTTTTTGCTGTGCCTGCCAACCAGGAGTTTGTCTATGTCCGAACTGTGACCTCCGTGCGCGAAGATATGGTTGACTTCTTTCTGCAGAAGCTGAAGGACTTCTGCTCTCCTGACTATGACGATGCACTTTCAGGTGTGTGCATGGCTACAAAAAATGTAGCTCTTGTGGTGTCATCATATTTCACGTTTAAGGAAGTGGAACAAATGTTACAATACTGAAAATTTTGTGATAATACTTATGGTTGCTTAGTCCCTAACAATGCCTCTGCTTCTGTCGTGATTCCAGCATAGGCAGCAAAGAAGTAGGCTAAGATGCATGCCTCTGTGTGATACTGAGTACTAGATAGGGTAACTAACTGGATTCCCAGAGAAGGCAAGCGGGTTAGGGGAAGACAGAAGGTTAGGTTGGCAGATGAGATTAAGAAGTTTGTGGGTATAAATTGAAATTGGCAGCAGCAAGCACTGGACTGAGTTAACTAACAGAACATGGGAGAGGCCTTTGTCCTGCAGTAGACGTAGTCAGGCTGATGATGATGATGATACTAGATACATCAGCTGCACAGTAGAATCTTGATGATACGATTACAGTTTATATGAATTTTGTGATTATACAAATTTTAGGGTTGTCTTGGATGGACTACAGTATATAAAATATAAGAATAGTTTTCCCAGCCACCACGGGTGATACGAATGTGCAATTGATCGCTGCATGCAAGCGGCACAGCAGGGCTTGTCTGTGGGAGGAAGGCTCGTTCGCTCTTGGTCTCGTAGGGAGTGAATGCGGCAAAAATTGCCCAAATTTCTCTCATGTTAGTGGCCGGAAAACCACGCCGTGAGACCGATGCGAAAATATCGGTCCAAGACCAATATTCTCCCCACATGATAGCAGATCGCCTTTTCGCTTCACGGGTTTGCTGCACCGGCTGCACTAGCTCTCAAACAATGTGATGTAAACATTCAGCTGCAATTCAGCATGGCGGCAAAAACGTCGGCGGTGGATCGCATCCGCGCAATCGCTAGCTACCCGTGAGGCACGTCAAAGCTCTAAACCTCGACAAGGGCGCAGTTCATCGAGAACCTGGTTTGGATTACAATCGCCGATAACACCGAAAGTAGAAGGTGCAGCAGCAGCGAGTAAGCATGCCCTAATATGTCTCGCTTTTGCATTGCCGACTGAGTCGATCATCACCGCGGTCGGTGGGTCTGCTTGTGTCGTTTTTGCCGGGGTATCTTCTAAAACGATGTTCGTAAACGTGCAGACTGTTTCTTCTTAGTTCTTTTCCATGCATAACTAAAACTCCTGTACAAATTTTAATGCTCATGAAACGGGCAAAGTGGAATGAATTGTCAAACGGCGGCGGCAGTGGCATGCACTTATAGTGATCAACTCTCATGACTGGAACAGCACGTGAAATCTACTATTGCAAATAGTACACTCTACCACATCTGAACATGCGCGATTTTAGTGATGTGCCTTTCTTGGAATATGATCCCTGTTTATCACCGTGGATGTAGCAACTGCTTTGGCTGTCGAAAGTGCTCTAAGCGATTTAATGAAAATACAAAAAGCAAGAAAAAAAAAGAAACAGAAGCGACCATTCTCCCTGTTATACATCATGAAGCGAGAATAAGTTGAGTATAAAAAGCACCTATCGGGGCCATTGCTAGCTTTTTTTTTTTAGTGCCATAATGTAAACAGCTGCTTAGAAGTCAAAGCAGCATCGTGGCCGTGGTGATAAAGAGAAGTGGAAACTACAAGGCGAGCACATCACTGGCGCTGTGCATGCTCAAGTGTGGCGTATTTGCGGCTGTCAGATGTAGCTCTTGCTGTTGCACGCGCGACACTCCTTCATTCTAGACATGAGAGTTGACTACTGTACGAGGGGCAGAACTGATAGTGAACAGTTGTTGACTGGCGTAGACATAGTTTCCTGGCTGCTCTGGCGTTTTCCCTTGAAGTCTTCAGTGTGAATTCTTCAGAACTGAATTTTTTTTCGTGTCGACTTTGCGACGCAGTTTTCCGGTTGTTTAAGTGGCGAAGCGAGTTAATTTTTAATGAGTTTAGCTTCTTTCGCTCTCTCTGATGTCAAGTGAGAACGCGCTACGCCAGCAGCAGCAGGAGTGAGGGTACCACGGCACTTTATTAAGAGACGGTGAAGACAAGAAAGTTCGAAAAAGCATCATGAACTTCTTTCAGCAAGAATTAGTTGCCAATAAAGTTCTTGTTCATGTTCATTTCCAGCTTTAGCTTGTTTTTGGTTCATACGAACTCTGGATGATGCGAATACTTTGCTGTGCTCTCTTTGAATTTGTATTATCAAGATTCTGCTGTACTTTGATCATGGCAGAAACAGTAGCAGTCTAATGACCTATCATACATTACGTTACAGTTATATCAAAATGCATTATTATATAGCCCTTGTATAGTAACACCTTTAACATAGCCTGATAGAATAGTTGCTTGGGATAGTTAAAGATTTAGCATCAACATATTTACACAATGCAGAATTAACGAGGATGGATGAAAGGGCACAATATAGCACCTTTATTGTGTCATCTCATTTGCCCTCCTCATTCGTTTTGCATTGTGCAAAATGAATGAGGAGGACAACAAAATTTGTTTGCAAACAATTCGTTTGCAAAATGCAAAACGAATTTTGCATTTTGCATTGTGCCTATATATATAATGCGCCTTGTATTGTGGCACTCTGTCACACAACCATCTTCTGTAGAGTTTACAGTGAAATAATTGCTCCTCTTGCAATTGAATATTTAACTCAGTCACCCTTTATTAAAATCAAAACCTCAAGTACAGAGGAACGAATGGATAGGCAGATAAAAGGGTCTCATAGTTCGCAAGTGCCAGAACTGACTCTGTATGAGAATTGCAGGATACGTGTTAATGCACACAACAGGGAGAAGATCGCAGAATCGTAGTATCAGTAGCACATCAATGGATATTTTCAAAATATGGAGTGTTAAACAGAATTTACGAAAACATACAGAATTTACAGTTCAAAGAGTACGAATGCATCAGAAGACAAATATGAATGTGGTTAAAGAGACACTGAGAACAATTATTTTGCTTGTATGACGTGAGTAAATTATCCCTTGCATAGGGACATCTTTAGAGGGGAAAAAATGCCACTTTTGCCAGACAAAAATCCTTGGTAAGTCAGCACAGCCGTCAGAAAGAAGACACTGGTGGCAATGCCACCTCAAGTTCCTGATACCATTTCGCCATAACGACATAGGTTTTTTCACTGTATTCTAGGGTTTGTATGTAATTCCTCACGCAATTCCTTAATGTATCCAATTCCTCAATACATATTGTTCTAAATGAGCCATAAATGTGTCATTGCAAGTTTCTCTAGATTGTAGTGATCTGTCATGAACTGATAGAAACAAAATAAGTGCACCTGAAGTCAGAGCTTTTGCACATACTTGGAGCATTGAGGTTTCTAAATGAAATTCAGAAGTGTAATTTTCACCTTTCCTCCATAACTGGCAATAGAATATCCAGAAATGATATATTGATGTGTGAGTATTTAATCAAATACTAGTGTTTTAAATTAGTGTCACTGCAATACAGTTTAGCTGATAAAAGTGACTTCTCTTCTAAGTGTGGTGCATTAATATGCTGACATCAAGGCGCGTCCATTTAAAAAAACAAACAAACTGCAAGCCCTGTGGAGCGTAGCAGTCGTGCCATCGGCTATCAATATGAAGCATGTATGTATGTTTTCTTGCAGAGGATTTTCTTTCTCTTTCACTGGGTAGTGCCGACGAAGCATCCTCGCAGGAGCACTCCTTTCCAGCTTTCCTCTGGCAGCACATTGAGATGGCTCTGTCCAAAGGCTTTGACGACAATGTTGGGAGGCACCCAGTTCCTGCTGATTTTGAGGTTAGTTATGCCTGTTTTCACAATACGAACATATGTTATGGCCTTGGCACTAATGCAGTCTTTTGGGCTTTTTGGTATGACATGGTGAGGCATGGATAGACGAGGGCAAAAAAAAAAACACCTGTTTATGTCATGTCCTTCATCGTCATCTTTCCGTGTGCTATAAGCCTCATCTTTACACTAGAGGCACCTTTCAATTCGTAAGCCTCTTTGTTCTTTCTTTTGGACAGTGAAGATGTCTATTTCCTTTCCTTATGAATCAGTGTGTGAAATATATGCTTACCTGTTCCCCTTTCAGCATTTTATACACTCAGACCTGATTATAACAAAGGCACACCTGCTACGAAAACACTTTGTTATGTCAAAAAATTTGTTATAAACATTTAATAAACCAATAGAATAGTCGATTTAGCTGGACAGTACTCTAGGCTGTACAAAGCAGCTTAGGTGTTCACCAGAAAGACTGCCAACACTGTATCATAGACAAAAGTATTCATTTCATTATAACAGATAATTTGTTATATCTGGGTTCTTTATATCTTAGTTAAAGTGTATTCTGTTAAAGTCCTCATCATAGCTTGTCATGTGAATTTAGCTGTTGTTAAGCTTGGATTATCATAATGATCCCCGCAGGGGCGCCTGCGCAAGTAGGCGTTTGGTGTGTAGCGACACCACGGACCCGAGCTAACGGGGGAGTTCGTACTCCCTCCCACGCCTAGCCGTGTGTGGCTTTGCCGTGTCCGGGGAAAAGGGGATCCTGGGGGTTGAGCCGACGCTGGGTGATTGGACCTTTAAGGCCCCCTGGCAGAGGCAACACACCCCTTTGGCCCCGGCTTCACGTAGACGGCACCCCTGGGCTGACCCACCCAGGGGAAATCGGCAGTCGCCTTTTCCTATCTCTCTCTCCCTACATCTTAGTCTTTATCTCTCACTTTTTATCTGTCCTGTCTTCTCCTCTCTTCTGTTTACTTCCAAACTTCCTGGCGGCAAGGGTTAACCCTGTGCAAATAGCCTACCTTGGTCTAGGCGCATTGGGTTATAGTAGCGTTGTACGGCTGGCGTCTGCAGGTTTCAGCACCCGCAAACTTGTAGCGTCCCCTCGTTGGGCTCCGTGGTGGGTGGCCGCCAACGCTTCTGAAGAAAATTAAACTGGCATGCATAGAGCATTTCCATTATTAAGTGATCGTACCGCCTTAAAGCACGTACGCACCGAAGACTTAGGATTTTTCAACCGATCAACTGAGAACTTCCCCCATTTTCATGTTATACATAGTGAGATAAGCAGCAAGCAAGCCAGAACTGTATCCCCCTTTGTAGTTGCCAGATGTCTCACAGAAACTCTTGGAGCCGGGTACAAAGTTACCAAAATGGCCAGCGGAGACCTCCTCCTTGAAGTTCGAGAAAAAGAACAGTTTGAAAAGCTACAGAGTCTATCAACTTTTGGTGACACTCCCATCACTGTAACGCCACACAGATCGATGAACACAACCCGTGGAGTAGTTTCTGATGCTGATTTGCTCGGCTTGACTGAAGAGGAACTTCTGGAGGGGTGGAAGAGTCAGAATGTGACCAACGTACAAAGGATCACCATTAGAAGAGACAACAAGGTAACACCAACGAAACACCTGATACTCACGTTCGCTTCCAGTAATCTGCCAGAAAGTATTCAAACAGGGTACACAAAGACGTCGATCAGACCATACATACCTAACCCACGTCGTTGTTTCAAATGCCAGAAGTATGGCCACGGCTCACAAAGCTGTCGTGGTCACCAAACTTGTGCACAATGTGGAGTGTCAGGCCACAACTCTGACAATTGCGAAGAAACCATCACACTGTGTGAACTGTGGCGGAAATCATGCCGCATACTCACGGTCTTGCTCATTTTGGAAAAAAGAAAAAGAAATTATCACATTGAAAATTAAAGAAAACATCACATTCAAGGAAGCAAGACGAAGAGTGTCGCCATTTTATGGCGCTACATATGCTGATGCGGCGCGTCAGGGGGCAACGCCGCACCAGCCCTCGTCACTCCTTCGGCCAGCGTAGAGCGAGCCGACGGTTGTGGCACCTGCCCCCAAGGCGGCAGTAGTTCAGTCTACTCCGCTGCCTAGCGAATTGAGGCCGGAGACTCCAGGGTCCTCTGGTCTCAAGGCGTCCCCTCACCAGGCGAGGCCTAAAATTCGAACCACCAGCTCGCATGTGCGGGCAACCAGTGCCTCTGGGGAGGCAATGGATACAACGGTACCCTTGGTACCAAAAGAGCGGCGCGCCTCCTTGGAGCGCGTTAAGAAAAATAAAAAACCAATAACGGGGCCGGACGACCGTCCTGCCACCTGAATTAACGAGCTCACTCCAACACAGAATACTCTCTGTACACACAGCAGTATCTCTCTTGTTTAAATATGCAGACAGAAATATTATAGTGGAACATCCGAGGCCTTCTTCGAAACCTCGATGACTTACACGAACTCCTCTATGAACACAATCCAAGAGTGCTGTGTGTACAGGAGACACACTTAAAACGAACTAACACAAACTTTTTACGTAACTACATAATCTTCCGAAAGGATAGAGATGATGCCATGCTACCATCCGGTGGTGTAGCGGTTATAGTAAGTCAAGGTATAGCATGCACACAATTACCCCTTCAAACTTCCCTCGAGGCGGTGGCTGTCCGAGCAGTTATTCTAAACAAACTTGTCACTGTTTGCTCTTTGTACATACCACCTCACCACCGTCTCGAAAAACTTCAATTCCAGTCTTTAATCGACGAACTACCTGAACCTTATCTGGTCCTTGGGGACCTGAACGCACATAATGGTCTGTGGGGTGACTCTCGCTGTGATGCCCGAGGTCGTCTCATTGAACAATTCCTCATTTCATCCGGTGCTTGTCTGTTGAATAGGAAAGAGGCAAAATACTATAACCTTGCCAACAAAACTTACTCTTCCATAGACCTCAGTATCGCATCTCCTTCACTTGTACCATTACTTCAGTGGAAAGTCATAAATAATCCATACGAAAGTGACCATTTCCCTTTAGTTTTGAGTACACCAATAATAAATGAATGTCCTCCACATGTTCCCAAATGGCTGGTAAACAAAGCCAACTGGGAACGATTTCAAAAGCTTACTCACCTAAATTGGACTGAGATATGCGGGTTAGGCATAGATGAAGCTGTGCAGTACCTCACGGCTTTTCTTAATGACGCAGCAACCAAGTGCATTCCACAAACATCTGGACTGCCCGGCAAACGACACGTTCCTTGGTGGAACACTGAGTGCCAGAATGCGCGAAAGGAACAGAACAGGGCATGGAGGTTGCTGCGGAACTCGCCGACAGCGGAAAACCTTGAGAGCTTTAGGAAAATAAAATCTCGAGGCAGGAGAATGCGTCGGCAGGCCAGAAAAGAAAGCTGGCACAAGTTTTTATCAGGGATAAATTCATATACACAAGAGGCTGAAGTCTGGAACATGGTTCGTAGGGTAGCAGGAAGACAAGTACACTCACTCCCACTCGTAAACACACAGGGTGATAGCCTGGAAGATCAAGCGAACTTCCTCGGTGCACACTACGAGCAGGTGTCTAGCTCGTCACACTACACTGAAGCTTTCCAAAGACACAAAGCAAAGATAGAAAAGCAGAAACTAGAATCCAAGTGCTCAAATTACGAGGAATACAACAAACCTTTCAACTTAGCTGAGCTACAAACATCACTAAACTCTTGCAATAATTCCGCTCCAGGCTACGACCGTGTCACATATGAAATGTTGAAAAACTTGCCGCTCGAAACGCGAAAAACTTTACTCTCTCTATACAATGCTATCTGGCTTTCAGGCACCATCCCTGCTTCCTGGAAAGAGGCTATTGTTATCCCTATTTTGAAATAGGGCAAGGACCCTTCCTCAGTTTCAAGTTATAGGCCCATTTCACTAACCAGCTGCGTTTGTAAACTTTTTGAAAAAATGATAAACCGCCGACTTTTACATTTCCTTGAAACACACAATTTGCTCGACCGATTTCAGTGTGGGTTTCGGGAGGGTAGATCCACCACCGACCATCTGATGCGTATCGAGGCACAGATCCGAGACGCTTTTGTCCACAAACAATACTTCCTCTCAGTGTTTCTCGATATCGAGAAGGCTTACGACACAACATGGCGTTTTGGGATATTAAGAGACTTGTCTTACCTGGGTGTGCGCGGTAGAATGCTTTCCATAATCGAGAGTTACTTGTCCAATCGGAAATTCCGCGTCCGTGTGGGCAGTACTCTCTCCCAAATATTTGTGCAAGAAACGGGAGTACCGCAAGGTGGTGTACTTAGTTGTACACTTTTTATTATTAAAATGAATTCCTTGCACCTGTCCATCCCCCGCAACATGTTCTATTCCACATATGTCGATGACGTCCAGCTTGGCTTTAAGTCATGCAACCTAGCAATGTGTGAGCGACAGGTTCAGTTAGGTTTAAACAAGGTCTCCAAATGGGCAGAGGCAAACGGATTCCGGCTGAACCCAGGAAAAAGCACGTGTGTCTTGTTCTCCCGAAAGAGAGGCATGCACTCAGAACCCGACATTGAACTGAACGGCCAACGTCTGTCTGTGAATGCGGAGCATAAATTCCTAGGCTTAATCTTGGACAACAAGTTGACCTTCGTACCACACATAAAGTATTTAAAAACAAAATGTTTAAAAGCCATGAATGTTATAAAAGTGTTGTCACGTACTACGTGGGGTAGTGATAGGCAATGCCTCATGAACCTCTATAGAAGCCTTATTCGTACCCGCTTAGATTATGGGGCTGTTGTCTATCAGTCTGCCACTCAAAGTGCCTTGAAAATGCTGGACCCCGTGCACCATTTGGGCATCCGCCTTTCTACGGGTGCTTTTCGCACCAGCCCCGTAGAAAGCCTTTACGTTGAGACAAATGAGTGGTCGCTTCATCTGCAAAGAACCTACATGTCCTTTGCATATTTCTTTAAGGTGAAAGCAGACAAGAGGCACCCCTCATACTCTACTATTAATGACTTGGCGAGCTTCATTCTTTTTCAAAACAGGCCTTCAATGAGGCAGCCCTTCTCAGTTCGCCTGAAGGGTCTAGCTGAGGATACCGGAGTGTCACTCGAACACAGTTTAATGGCTCCTGTAGCATACCCGCCACCGTGGCAGTGGCAGACTATAGACTGCGATGTGTCTTTCCTAGAGGTTACAAAACATGCACCTATTGCCCATATCCGAACATACTTTCTGGAACTTCAACACAAATACACACGTCCTGAGTTCTTCACAGATGCCTCCAAGACTAACTCCTCTGTGTCCTACGCTGCTGTCGGCCCATCCTTTTCGGATGCTGGCCCTCTACATCCACGCACAAGTATCTTCACAGCGGAAGCTTACGCGATACTGGTGCAGCTAAACACATCAAACAATTACAAATACAAAAAGCAGTAATTTATACAGACTCCCTCAGTGTGGTAACGGCTCTGCACAGTCCTAAAAAACAAAAAAACCCAGTCCTTGTCTCACTTTACTCCATTTTGTGCACACTCTACACACAAAACAACATGTTGTAGTGTGCTGGGTGCCAGGGCACCGTGAGATCCAAGGCAACGTGAGGGCGGATCAGCTCGCTGCATCCGTCCATGAGAGCACCGCCATTACATCTATATCAATCCCGGCCCTTGATCTTAAGCCGTCTCTCAAACGAAACCTCAGGGACTACTGGCAGAGCAAGTGGGATACACACACACAAAACAAACTACACGTTATCAAGCCACACCTTGGCCATTGGCCACCAGTATCAAAATCACGTCTAACAGAGGTAACACTAACAAGACTCAGGATAGGACACACATACACGACACACACACATCTTTTATCCGGTGGTGATCCACCATTGTGTGATAAATGTGGTGAGACATTAACAGTTCTTCACGTTTTAATTCAATGTAAACATTTAGACACTCTAAGAAGACAACACTTCCCACTATCCTACCGACAACATATACCTTTACACCCTGCAATGTTCGTCGGTAGGGAACCGCTTTTTAGTCACAAATCATTATTAGCGTTTTTAAAGGAAATTCATAATTTTCACATCATATACCCGGGCATACCGTAGCACGACCTCTCTAGAGAGGTTTTTGCTGCGGTGGCTACACAGGAAAGCACATGCCTCACGGCCCTTGGACGCAAGGGTATGAACGAGTGAGGCACTTGTGCTAATGCCATACATATCCACCATCGTCTTATTATCACCAACTTTTGTCATCATTCACACCACACACATCTTTCACGGCATGGTCATCATTTTATTACTTGTATGTTCTTACCCGCCTTATCGCGAGGAATTTTATGGCCCTTATACAGCCGCTTATCACAATCATTGTCCATATTTTTAGTAAGATGAAATGGCGCTCTTTGGCCAACAAATGGCCCTTGCGCCAAAAAACACCATATATCATCATCATCATAATGATTGCCGTGTGCTAGCAGCATTGACAGTCAAGGTATTCAAAGAAATAAACGATGCAAGTAGCATGTACTTTAAAATTGACTAACAGTTATCCTGTTGTTGATTATGCCAGCACAACGTATTACTTAGCTCTTTGTTTTAACAATATTTATATGTCTACACCTAAATATTCATCACTCACTAACCTCTGCCATCATTGCTTTGTTTTCTTCTATTTTAAATTCTGGGCACGTAGGGAAGCCAGGCCACAAAATTTTTTGTAAGGCGTGGGTCTTTTTTTTTCTTTCTACACGGTTTATCTCTCTGGTGGTTGGGTCTTTGTGCAAACGAGAAAGTGACATACATCTTGTAATGTACTTGTGGTGGACATTTGTGCGAGGAACATTTCTAACCATGAAGTCTTGTCCTTTTGCTTTTGTTTTATGCAGTGGCTGTAATGCATTCATATGGTGCAGATACAGTATTGAAATTCTGCATGTGTGAGTGTTTGGCACAGTAAGTGGAACATGGGCACTATGGTTTGAAACCCAGTATTGCTAAGAAATTTTATTTTTTTCTGTGCATTAATTTCTTTGTAGTGGTTTACCTTATGTTACTGAGGGATGGACGGACAAACAGGCACACATTTGTTTCATTAAGTCTGCATAAAAATGCTTATGCGCTTAAAAAAAGTCCAGTACTACATGGAACACTGAGCACAGTCACAGCATAAACTGGAGAGCAGCCTCTTGAAAGCCCAAAATAATCTGTTTCAGGGTGCCCATTTCAATTAATGAGCACTTAAAGTATCGATTTAATGTACTCACATTCATTGAAGTATAGTATTCATGTGCCATTCGTGATCCAAAAAGTGTGTTGTGGATTACATGCAGCTTGACGCTACTGATTATTACAAATTTAAATTCATCGGCTGTTCACCTTGTGGTTCGACTGTTGCAGCAAGGTTTTACATCTCTCTGTCTGCTGTTAGTTTGTGAGTCTAAAATTTTCACAACCCTTGAAGTCGTTGTATTTATAAACACTTTGTTCTACAGCTTCCCACCGTGTCAGCCTGGTTCAAGGTTGCTACGAAGCTTCGAGACTTCTTCCTCTCCCCAACCTCCATGGCAGGCTCAAGCATGGTATCGTCTCTGAAGGCGTCACTTGACATTGATGTTCGTTTTTCAGAAGGGTAAGTTAGATTCATGAACGGGGCTTAGAATTGCTTATTGTCTTAACACTAGGCCTGTCACTGTCGTCGATTTCGGTTGAATTCGATATAGATGTTAAAATGCTGTCTTTGAAGCATCCGTATGGAAGAAGTTTTGAAAACAATCAAATAATAGCAGAGATTGGAGCAGTTAAGGAGTCTCTTTGCTATGCTATCTGTTGTCAGCACAGACACTCTTACCTTTTTCCTTGATCAGAACCCGCAAATGATGTTCCTGCTACATTTTACTTGACTGGAGCCAGGAAACTAAGCCACGCGTGCATCACAAGCTCTAACAACACTAGAAACGAAAGTTTGGCTTGTTGGTCCAAACATCCAAACAAGTTCTAACTTCTTTCTTTTTTCAACTCGCATTGTTCTCTACCTTTTGCATAACATAACCGCCTAAAGTGAGATATTAAAACGGCAGTAAGCGTCGTTGCAAAACTTCTAGCTAGTCTGTCTCTTCAGCCATTGTATCTGACACTCAGACGAGACAGGAACTGTCATTGTGAATTATGTATAGAGGTTAGAGAGAGTGGCCGCAGTGAATAAGAATGCTCATAGTTGTTTTTTTTTTTGGTTCACAGGCGGTGTGGCAAGGTCCTTCCTTTGGCAACGTCAGCGTACCAAGAAGGGCTACCCACTCACTACACTGCTGAGTATCACGAGAGGAAGGTGGGCATATTTGAAAGATCACTTGTGAAATTCCTTTTTAAGTGATATTTGTTGCTGCCCTGGCACCTTTAAAATAGGAACTATGGTTAAGAACATGACATCGTCATAATGAAATAATTAGTGAGCACGTCAGTTGCCCATTAGTTACACGTCCCCAAATCAAGTGTATCATGCAGTGTCTTCCAAAGCATGACCTGCATTCAAGGTACACAAATAGTCTCAGTTGCTCCATTTACAAACTAGAGAGCACTGTATTATGATTTGTAATCATTACGACACAGTAAAACTTTAGGCCAGTTGAAGCACCTCATCATGTGGCAATGCTTGTGCATGGTGTCTCGTACAAAACTACGACAGGCTCCTCAAATGACCTGAGCTTAGGGCTTAGCATGTACAACTGCCGATTCATATTGAATTGAGCAAAAGGCTCATTGAGAAAGGGGCAAGCAGTTATGGGAGGGAGTTCTTTATTCAGAAAGAGCAGTGGGACACTGTTGAGACAATTTTCAAAGCCTGCTGTTGTGTGTGTCAAGTGAAATCAAGGATTTGAATGCCTTTCAGTGCTTTTCATTGCTTAGGATAACTTGCACTTCAGTGTGTATGATTTTTGACCACATATACAGTTGATCCCAGTGCTCAAACGTAGCTTCCAAGCTAAAAAGCTCAACATATTCGAGTTGTCTTGAGAGAAAGCAATTGTTCAAAACAACAAAGGTCTCAAGCTTTTTACTAAAAAAGCTGCCAGGAACTTGAGCGGCTTTATTGAATGACTGTTTGGACATGCGAACACTTACCTTTAGGCTTATGCATATATTTGAATGCTTTGAACAATGCAGTATTCAAATTCACTTTGCAACGAATTTAAATTTTTGAAAATTTCCAATTGTTCGAAATGAATGAATAAGTGCATATTAGTCTGCTAAAGCATAGTGTAAAGGTGGTTTCACTGCAGTGGGGAAGTGCTAAGCCATGAAAGCATGTATTTAGGTGTATGTTAGTTCGCATGTGACCTTTTGTAAAAGTGGTTTCACTGCTGTTAAATTGGGCTAAGCCGTGAAAACACGTGCTTAGGAAAAATTTCCACTGCCGGGAAGCCCCACTTCAAGCTTGAATGAAGGTATTATTCTCACACCGATTCATTTTTTAAGTTTAAAAGCTTGTTGTACCAACTTATACGCTCTAAGTATAGCAAGTTCTAAAATGTAACATATTTTGCATGCCACCCCTTGTACTCTGTTGAACGTCAAATCATGCTGCAATTCAAAGTTGTTTCCACTTCTTTTGACGGAAAAGATGACATTTGCACAGGCCTCGTTTCAATAAAAAAAAGAAATATATATTGGGCAAGTTAGTTAGTAAGGTAATGACAAATATACCTGTTTTTCTTTATGATATGCGATATATATATCGTATTTACTCGATTCTACCGCGCCCTCGATTGTAACGCGCACTCGGTTTTCAGGACGAAAAAAAAAAAAAGTAAGACATCGATTGCAACGCGCACCCATTTTTCTCGTTGGCCCGCACGATCACACTACTTGGGTAAACGACTCCTTTCGGGAGCGTCTTCCTTTTAAATATGAGGTACGGGGGAAGCTTGTGCCTATCTGACGTGCAACGGAGCATTGCCGTCACTCTTGTTTTACCGTGGCCCGATGCCAGCATGCAAACTTGCTTCGCCCCCTTCTTCTCGACGGTTGTGGTGCCAGGCATGTCGAAGTAAAGAGGCGTCTGATCGGCAATTTCCGATTTGCCCAAGCAGGTAGCCGTTGTTGTGCCGCAAGTTTAGCATGAGCCTCTGAAAACTGTGAAGCTTTTCTTCGTACTCCTCTGGCAAGTTTTGGCGCATGCCCGTTCGCTTTCGGAGGGAAAAGCCTTTCCTCTTCATAAAGTTAGTTAGCCAGCACCTGCTCGCTTTGAACTGGCTCCGCGTTAGCCCTTTTTCAAAAGCTAACTGCATAGCCCGCACTTAGAGCAGTTCTGTCGTCACAAGCCGCTGTGCCACTAGCTGCTCAAGCACATACTCGGCAAGCAGCTCTTCGATTTGCGGAAACCGACCCTGCTGTGGTCCTACTGAAGCCTTTGCATGAATCTTTGACAATCTTCTGCTTTTGTTTACGCCAGTCCCACACGCACAATTCGGGAACTCCGAACGACCGCGATGCGGCCCGATTTCCGTCTGTTTCGGCACATACGATGACTTTTCTTTTAAAAGCGGCATCGTGGTGCACTCGTCAAGTTTCTGGAGTCGGCCCTTCCGTGCCGTCGATGCTAATGATCTACAAGATGACGAACTGCTCAGCACACATACGAAGTGCCGCAGATGGGAAACACATAGGCAGAAATGGTTGACGCGCCATGTCGAAGCACGTAGGGGGCGGCCATTTCAGAAATGCCGATAACAATAGAATGACCGTATTCATTTTTTTTTTCGCACTCGATTTTAACGTGCATGCGATTTATGAACTCGCTTAACCGGAAAAAAGGAGCACGTTAGATTCGAGTAATTACGGTACTATTCGAATTCGATCTGAAATTATTTGACCAATGTCACTATTGTATTCACTTCGAACCTAAAATTCACTATTCGCACTAGCCTACTAATCTTATTTTCATCTTTTGTTCTGATGTACATTTTCTTTTCTACATGCCTTTTCCTTAGTTGGCACGAGCTTTCCAGATGTTTAGCACGCATGCAAGGGGCCCTGCGTTCCAGCGGTATGCACAGCAGCTGAAGGAGGACTGTGACCTTGTCTGGAAGTCAGGCCGCCAGATGTGCGAAGTGCTCAGTCTGACGGGCAATCATTGCATCAATCCTGTAAGTTTGACCAAACAAATGGGCATGAAGCCTTTAGCCAATATCTACAGTGTAAAGGAGGTGTCGAGAAGGGCTTAGGCTTCCTGATTTACTGATCTCTTTTACGAAAGGCTTCGATATTTGAAGAAGTGCCTTGCAAGCATCACATCATAGTGTTCTGTCCTCCAGAATATTGATGACTTTATATCCAGTTCATAGGTGCTGCCACCTTAGCCCTTACACGAATGATTTCTCAGTGTTGCATGTGTTGTCACATCAATTGGCATGGTCATATCAGGACAGATGCGTTCATACAGTGGTTTTTGTGAGCACGAGCATACTGTGGTACCATTTGTTTGTATACTTAGTATAGAAATGAAATAGAGAAGTTGACAGCGATATGGTGGCATCAGTAGTAATGCTTCCATAGAATATATGTAGTATAGGTAATAATGTATAGTAGACACATAGCCAAGCAGTGAATGCACAGTTTAGCTGCTGTAAGTTATTCACTGTATCGAAATGTGAGAATCAGTTACTCCTAGTTCTCTCTTTCTTTTTCTTTTTTGCAGGTTCACAGAACTCCTGAGAATGCAGATGAAGTGAGAATAGAGGAGTGCCCTCTGCTGATGCCCCATCGAAGCCAAATGGTGTTGGTTTCAACCTGCAACTGTGGACGGCAGCAGAGCACACGGGAAGACCCTTTCATTCTCAAGGCACGGGCTGCTTCTGTTTTTCTCACTAAAGCATCATTTTTTTGTACTTTATCTTGTAGCTGTTGTGACACTGAAATAAATGCTTGTTGCAACTTGTTATATGGAAAGGGAGAGTACTGATAAGCGAATTGATAAAACCCACTAACATGGCGTAAGAAATGTGCCTGCTGCATTTCGATCTTGGTGGAGTAGGAACAAATGTGCATTCTATTGTTGTGTGGAAATATTTAAGCAGGCGTTGCAAACCTCGATGAGAATTTACTGTGAAAACATGCCTGATTTGTGGGCAGGACTTTATCGCAATAGTTTGTGTTTTTTTGTGTCCAACTTTTCGTTTGTGATGTCTGCTCTAAAGTGATTCGATGCAAACAATTGTTACCAAGGACAGTGAGGATTACAGGTTTTGCTTCTTAATCTGTCAAATTTTTATTTTGGTTTTCTTTCCACAAAGCAGGTTGATGAATTATTTCAATATTGCTATGTCCCTGAAAATGCAAGAGTCCCTGCCTGTAAAGCTTGCAAATAAGCCTTTGTTCACATAGTTAGTAATCTTTGTTTTGATTTAAAGAAAGTAAAATTTAACACTGAGAACTAGCCACATTAAACAGTTGGAAGGATGAACTGCTATTTATCTAATTAACATGTGCATGGTCAATCTTGGTACGAGTAGCTCAAGAAATACATATTCAAGAAAAGCAGGCTCAGGAAAGAATCACGGCAACGGGAAGCGCTGCTGTGTTGCGTTGTATTTCTTTGTTGTGTGTGTGCGTGTAATTTTTCTGTGCTAGGTACTTGTAGTAATAATGTCAGGCTACAAGTCGTCATTCTTAGGCAGGTCCAACGATCCTTCCTTACAAGCTAACCATCAAAACCTGGCATTTCTAGGCTGCCAATTATGACTTCTATCTGAGAGTCAGTGCTGACTGCTGCGCTGTCCTGGAGCGAATCAACTTCCCAGCCTTTGAGCCGAGCACTGCTGACCAGGAACAGGCTGCAGCGGATGAAAGCGAAGCGCCTCATGTCGAGCTTGAGCCTCCGAGATCACGGAGTAGAGCGAAAAGCCTGTCGCACAGTGAATCCAGCTCGCGAAGTGCCTCACCGCTCTCGGAGTCAGACTTCAGCTCGCAGTCACCAGTCTCTAGCAATGACTCAGGTTGGTTCCGATTGCTATTTTCTTGAAAGTATTGAGCTGCACCATTATTCAGAAGTGCACAGGCCTCGTGACTTTTTTTTGCTGTGGGTTGGGGTGTATAAACTTTGCAGCTTTCTATCAGAAATGATGAACACAATTGTTCGTCCCCAGTGGATCTACAAGTGTCCTGTAGACTGCCAAGACCTTTTAGTATATCGTCTATTCTTGTCACTACAGGACCATGATAATCTGGGAGAACAAGTCCATTTTATTTGAATTTCGTGATATCCAAACTCCACGTAGGGGGGGAGTGGGGTGCATTGCCGTGTGATGATTGTTTTAATTTAGCTCAGTAATATGAAGCGGGATAGTTCTGCTTGATACGTGCTGGATGTATTCAACAGCATGGTTACGAAAACTTCAATCACAGTGATGGAAGTGCTGTTCCAATTGCTCCAAACAGTAATTTTTATTAGTAATTGCTCTAAACCTGCTCCCAAATGACACTGAGAGAGTGAGAATGACTAACTTTTCCTGTTTGACGGATTCATAAGTCCTAGAGAAGCTGGAAAGAATTTGTGCACTATCATCCAAGTGCACACCTAGTGTGGAGCATTATTGGTACTGATCTCATTTGTGCGACAAGGCATATAAAGCATATAGCTAATTTGGCAGTTTTTGTTTTTGTTTTTTCTCCTCTCAGCTAGACATGCAAGGTAGTGTGGGGAAATGTGAAAATGACCAAGATTGCTTTTTATTAGTTATCTACTTATTATTTGACAACAGTTATAACAGACTGTGGTTTATTCTAAAATGTGGCTCTACCGGTTCGATTTGATTTCTGCCACAGATACTAGTATTTTAAATTGTAGCTCAATTGGCAACACATCTTTGGCAACCTGCCATTGTTTGTTTTCTATGAAATTTACATTGTTGTCTATTACACATATTTCATAATAAATATTTTATTTACAAGATGCTTCGACAATGCTCCAAACTACAATTAATGTATAGCAAACTTAATGTCAACTCCTAAAGCACCAATAGCTGCTCTGAACTAGCATTTTTTTTTTTTTTGCTCCCAAAACATTTATGGCTGCTGCCAAAGTAGTAAATTTCCTGCTCCAAAGTATACTTCAAAATGTTAAAGGTCACTTCCATCACTGCAATCACAAGCCGCAGTTACGGTATTAACGAAATTCGCAGCACAAGTCCTAATGAATGAGCGAGTGCCACTACAGTTGGTGCAGGGACGCAATGTGGCCCCTGCACAGCAGCAAAGCTTGCTTTGATAATGAATTCGTAGTAGGCTTTTTCAGCCAGTTCTGTCGATCGGCTGGACAGTCCAAAGTTGGTGTGAGAGTTTTGACTGAGCAGCACCAAGGCACTTCTGACGTTCCAATTTGACAGTAGAACCCACTGGCTTAGAGCATCAGAACATCTTAGTATTTTCAAAATTGTTCATCATGCCAAACAACGTTACTGCGATAAGTGACGAACATCTATCACAAAACGCAAACAGAACTTTTTATTTGCACTAAGCTCGAATAAAGACTGGTGGTAAGAAAGCGGAAAGCACTCTTGAGTAATGATGCAATCACATTGCACCACATTTCAGTCAGCTTCAACACTTGAACCATTGGAATGACTAACGTGCTATCAGACTGGCTGGGCTGGAGGCTTGGCTTGGCAATAAGCAACCACTGTCATCAGCTGCTATTTAGAATTACGTACCGTGTAGCAGCAGTTTTTCCCTTCTAGATTTTTTAAAAGCATTGTAAGTGTTCTAGTGGAGTTACTGGGAAATGGCCTATAGATTGGTGTGCTAACGCTCTTTGGATGAGAGTATGATGTCGTGCTAGGGCGCACAGCAAGGTCTTGGGCGTTCTTTAAGGACACGGGCTGACATGAAGCTACATTCAACAAATGAACGTGTTAGTACACGAATGAAATTTCCCTTTGTTATTTTAGATATATATATATAGAGCGGCCGCGTCAGCAGCACGGGTAAGTGAGCTCTGCACATATCTACCTATAACTTTAGCAATTTTGGTTCTAGGAGGGTCATAGTGGTGTCTATTTGTTCGTGAAGATACAAGGAGTTCAACCGCTACAAATACTGCTATTACAAACGAAAATTTTAAATTTTAGGAGCGGAAAGCAGTGTGAATCTGTGAAAACAACAACAGTCGGACCACGTGTTTTTTACGATCGCTTGTAGCTTCGTTAATATTCTACCGGAAAACTTCTTACTCATAAAGTTGAAAGTCCTTAGGGTAGACCTGACGCTACTGAAGTTTGATCAGGCTAGGTTTAATAGTTCCAGAGTCACCTCGCAAACGCATTTAAATTTTGTCCGCTTAATATAATAATAAACCGCACCCTATAGGCTACCAAGAGGCCCAATTCCGTACACTCTAGGCCCTTAATTAAAGTGGTAATCAGCAAAAGCTCATTTCATTGAAACAAATTTTCAAAAGGAGCTACAAACGCCACCGAAAAATGGCTAATATCTTCTTTTAGAACACAACAGTCCCGTTTTTTCCGTGTAAAAATAATTTTGATAGCTTAAGGTAACCAGAAGATACAGAGTTAGAAAGAATATAACGAGAACCCGCAAATAAACGTGTGGCGCCCGCGTCTTCCCTCGCCCTCGCTCAGAGGAGGAGGGTGGCTCACTGCTCGGGAGAAAGGTACGCCCGTCAGATCAAAGTCTTGAACCACGTGTTTTTTTGTTTTTTTTTCCCTTACGATCGCTTTTAACTTTGCTAATAACCTACCGGGAAACTTCTAACTCATACAGTGCAAAGCCCTAGTTGTAGACCTGTCGCCGCTCAGGTTTCATCAGGACAGGAGTAATAGTACCGGAATTATTTTGTGACCAAAACTAAGCCTAATCAATAAAAAGATTAGTTTGTTAACATCACCTCACAAACAAATTTAAATTTTGTCTGCTTAATATATTAATAAACAGCACCCCATAGGCTAATCGGAGGCCCAACTCCGTACTCTCTAGGCCCTTAATTAAGGGGGTATTCAGCAGAAATCTCATTTCATTAAAAATTTTTAAAAAAAATAACCACAAACTTGACTGATACACCGCCGAAACCTACATTTAGAACATAACAATCCGGGTGCGGCGATGGCGTAGTGGTTAGAGCATCCGCCTCGCATGCAAGAGGTCCATGGTTCAAATTCCGGTGCCGCGCAGTTCCCAACCAGATTAAAAAAAAAAAAAATCCACGTGTTGATGGAACTGCAATAAGAGGCCTGAGGTGCGGCCTCACCGGTAACCACCGCCGGGAACGCACTCCCTCACCAGAGAAGGATTGGCCACCCTGGTGCAGTATCTGGCCACTACCTCCCACATGCATACGTCAAATAACTCACGGCCCTCAGTCCCCAGCAGCTGCGAAGCAACTGACCACGGCGCAGTCAGATCTGCAACGCAGCAGAGGGTGCTAAGAATCTCTGGATCCGGACAGGCCGCCATTGGAACCTGAACTTGGCAACATTTAATGCTAGAACCTTATCTAGTGAGGGAAGTCTAGCTGTACTATTCGAGGAGCTAGAGGGTGTTAAATGGGATATAATAGGGCTCAGTGAGGTTAGGAGGACAGATGAGGCCTATACTGTGCTACAGAATGGGCACGTCCTTTGCTATCGGGGCTTGGCAGACAGAAGAGAACTGGGAGTGGGGCTCCTAATTCACAGAAACATAGCTGGCAACATAGAGGAATACCATAGCATTAATGAAAGGTTGGTAGGTATTGTAATTAAACTGAATAAAAGATACAAGATGAAGGTAGTACAAGCTTACGCGCCTACATCCAGCCATGATGACGCTTCAGTTGAAAGCTTATATGAAGACGTGGAATCGGCAATGAGTAAGGTAAAAACACAGTATACTATACTGATGGGCGACTTTAATGCAAAGGTAGGGAAGAAGCAGGCCGGAGACCAGGCAGTAGGAGATTATGGCATCGGCACTAGAAACGCCAGAGGAGAGCTACTAGTAGAATTTGCAGAACGCAATAATTTGCGGATTTTAAATACCTTCTACCGAGAATGAGAAAACCGCAAGTGGACATGGAGGAGCCCTAATGGCGAAAATAAGAACGAAATAGACTTTATAATGACTGCACACCCAGGAATCGTGAAGGATGTGGAAGTGGTTGGCAAGGTACGATGCAGTGACCATAGAATGATACGGTCTCGAATTCGCCTAGACTTGAAAAAGGAACGACAGAAACTGATACGCAAGAAGCCAATCAATGAGCTAGCACTGAGAGGGAAAGTACAGGAATTCAGTGTGTCGCTGCAGAACAGGTACTCGGCTCTTAGTGAGGAAACCAACCTTAGCGTAGATACAATGAATGATAATCTGACGAGTATCATTACGGAGTGTGCAGTGGAAGTTGGAGGCAGGGTAGTTAGACAGGACACTGGCAAGCTTTCCCAGGAAACGAAGAACCTAATTAAGAAGCATCAAATCATGAAAGTCTCAAGTACAACAGACAAAATAGAACTGGCAGAGCTTTCGAAGTTGATTAATAGCCGTAAGGTATGCGATGTAAGAAGGTATAACATGGAGAGAATTGAACACGCTCTGAAAAACGGAGGAAGCGTCAAAGCAGTGAAGAGGAAACTTGGGATAGGCAAAAGTCGGATGTGTGCACTAAGGGACAAAGAAGGCAAAATAACTACCAATATGGATAGGATAGTTAAAATAGCGGAGGAGTTTTACAGAGATCTGTACAGTAGCCGAGACAACCACGACCTTAATACTATAAGAACTAGCAGTAACCCAGATGACCCCCCACCAGTAATGATAGAAGAAGTCAGAAAGCTTTGGAGAGCATGCAAAGAGGCAAAGCTGCTGGTGAGGATCAGGTAACATCAGACCTGCTGAAAGATGGAGGACAGATTGTGTTAGAAAAACTAGCCACCCTGTTTACGAGGTGTCTCCTGACGGGAAGGGTACCAGAGTCTTGGAAGAACGCTAACATCATCTTAATACG